AAGGCTGGGGAGGCGGCGCCTCCCGCTGCCCCGGGGCTGAGCGTCACATTGTGCGCGTTCTCCCCCCAGCGCCACGGGTACACCATGAAGTCGCTGAAGCCCGGACTGGTGGGGATGAGCGGCGGTGGCGGCTCCGGCTCCCCTCCGCCACCGCACGTAGGCTTGATCGGGGTCGTCCTGATGACCGACACCAGCACCCGCTTCGGGGAGTCGTGGCAGAAGATGACCGGCGGCGGCTGCGGTGGGTTGTCCGCCATCGGCGCCTCCACGCCCCGGATCATCGCCCGGCCCCGATCCGCAGCTCCGGCGGCCACGGACCACACTCCCTGAGCCCGAGTCTAGCTCTTCGCTCCACTAGCCCGCGCTGCTCCGAGTCGCTGGCTCTCAGTCCCGCGGGCTCATGGCCGGCGGATGTTTCCCGAATCCTCCTGAGCGGCAGCCAGAGAAGGAGCAGAGCAGCTCGGCGGGCACTGGGCGTCCAGGGCTGGACCCCAACCTCGAGTCAAGCCCGCCCTTCGCTCTTTGTATTCCCCAAGGCAGGCTGCAGCGGCGGGAAGCAGTGGGCGGCCTGGCTTGCGGTGACAGGAAAGCAGGACTCACAGCCCTGAACCCCCGAAAATAACAACCTGCCGCCGGGGTCCCTACTCCGGTTTTTCCCGCGTTACATTTCGCGCCTGGGCGGAACCAATCACCGCAAGGCCCCTGCCGGATGGCCGCAGCGGCGAGTGACAGGTTGCGCGAGCCAATGGCCGGGCCTAGACTTCTTTCTAGCAGAACGGGGCGGGGCTGGGGCAGTGCGCGGGTCCTTTCTGCTGAGCCATTGGCCGCCGCTCTAGTATTTTTTTTTTTCCGCCTGGAGGGCCAACTGCGTTCGAAACTCCAGGAGAGCGCGCGACTTCAGCACTCGCCCAGACACACTGCGAGGAGCCCCGCCCCCGCCTTCCCTAGGCGCGGGTTGTCAGGGGCGGAGGAGCGTTGAGGGGCGAACAGGGGCGGGCGGCAAGAGAGTTGCTGATTGGACAGGCATCGGCGAGGGGGCGGGGCCGAGACGGTCGTTGGCCGGCCAGGGTGCGCGCCCACATGCCCCGCCCGTCAGCACTGTCTGCCTGTGGCTGTTGGGCTGCGGTTCCCGCGCGCCGAGACTTTAAAGGGCTGGGTCGTGGGCCGCACCTCCGGCGCTCGGCTCCCGCCAGCGGCACTGAGGTTGAGGTTTTCCTGCTGCACGGGTTTCCAGTAGACACCCAAAGGTGCCCGATTTCTTAATAGGCTCTGTTGAAATTGCTGTGAATTGACTCTGTGACCCCAGACGTCCTCCCAGCAGAGGTGGGCATCAGCCAGGACCATCACCATCCCGGGCCTCGGTTTCTTACTGTGTAAAGTGGGGTAGTTAAGGAAGTGGTCTTCGAGGTACCGGTTTGCGCTCGCGGCGCGGATAGGACACGAACACAAACGTGTACACTCTCACATCCGGGACCCATGCTCCAAAGTCACCCCGAGGACCCCCGCATTCCCGCGACAGTTACCCCGCTGCCCCGGGGCCTCCCCTTCATCCCTGCGTCTGGACCCGCATGGAGCTCCGGGCTTCCCGCAGGGTTCCAGTCATTCCAGACTCCTCTGCTGGTCTTTGCTTCAGGGACCCAACCTCCCGCCATAGGGATCCTGCGAGTCTGAGCCTGTCAACCAGCCACTGAGGGCCAGTGTGGGGCTCTGAAACACCGGACCGCAAAGGATGAGGCAAAATGGAACGTCCAGCCTCTTATTCACTAGAATGGGAAAGAAGTGACTGTGCCTGTTTTGTTCTTGGCTGTATTGCCAGAGTCTAACCTGACTCATGGTAGGCCTTCAATAAATATTTGTTGAATGGATGGAATATCCAGTAGTTAAGGGTTAGAACTTGTAATTAGATTAGGACACACCAGCTAACACACACCCATACACACACACACACACAGCTATGCCTAAGTTAATATAGCTACAATTGTTTAAAAACAGATTTACTTGATATGAATAACTAAGATACATTTTAAGTGATAAAAAGGAAACATGAAATAGTATGATTTCATTAATGTTTTTTTTAAAAAAGCTGAGACAATATACATTTTTGCTTTTAGATGTACAGAATATATCAAGATACACAAACCGATACATCAGTTGACTACAAGGAGAGGAATTATGTGGCAGGTAAACAGAAGTGAAAAGATTTCAAAAGATACAACATATAACCTTGAATCTTTTGAACACTGAACCAAATGAAAGTATCTTCAATAAAATAGTATATATAGCTACCATTTCCTGGAGGCCTATTAGGTAGCTACTGATGTACATAATATGGATGGATGTTTCACTTACAATCTACTCAACAATTCTGTGAGATCATTCTCCATTTTACAGATGAGAAAACGAGGCTTAACTAAAATCACATAACTCAATAAATCTTTTGGAAGAAGGGCTCTGAAAACTGCCTAGGATTATACCTCAGATCTGCTGAACAAAAGAGGCTAAAAACTAAGTCAAATTTCTCATATTCCAAAACTTTCAGGTTTTAGGGGTTAAATCCAATTTGATGTCTTAATAGTCGATGTGGAAAGCTGAAAGTTCACCTCTCATTTCTCTTAATTTAGTTAACATTCATTTTGTTTTTACAATTTAATACCAAATGATTGTGCCATACACTTCTGAATCTGTTGAAAGGGAAATGAAACCCAACTATTTTATACTTGAAAGAAAAAACGAAAAAGTAGGCACTCGAGTTATGAGTTGAGCAAGATTAAATAGATTAAGTGCCAGAGATAGTTAACTGTTTAACATTCATAACATGCCCCAGAGTGCACGATGAATCATTCAGAATCAGGACACTGACTTTCTGTTTCTAAAAATTATTCTTCGTCAACAGTAACCTGGCAACTCCACTTGCTCTCTGCCACAAGAGAGTAAAAGACATGCCAGGAATGTATGACGAGGGCACAGGGTGATTCCAAGAGCAAAGCTGAGGTCATGCAAGACCTACTTGTTTGGCTCCATTTTAATGAAACCAGAAAGCTGAATTGTGTGGATCATCATGTTCCTGGTGTCTTTGTTCTGCCCCAGACATGGTCAACAGCCTATAGCGTATACTAACTGAAGAATACTAAAACCATTCTCAGGACACTTACTATATAATTACTGTTAAAAATGTAAGACCCTTCTGAGAAAACCATATACCTCAAACTCTGTTTTTTAGATGTATTTTAAAATTTCAAGATAAAATCTGAAAAACAAAGCAAAACTTTTTCACTTGGAAAATAATATCAATAAGAGCATTTGAAGCTGCTTGGTTGCTACGAAATCTTTTATCCTAGTTAGCGTGGGTGACTGAGCATAACATAAATCTTTTTCAATGATTTGTCTCTAAAAGTGCAGATAAAATAGCTTTGCAAATAGATGTAGATGAAATATGATAAAAATATCCGATCATTTGTTTTGAGATTAACAAGAAGATATTTTACCATAAAAATTCTGCAAAATATTTTCTCAATGTTCTACTTGGCAACAGACTCAAACCTGAGTTCCACAATGTCTCTTATAAATGACAGAAATCTAGGAGGAAATGGTTTCCCACATTATTTCGATGGAAGTTTTAAGCTCTGACAACGGGAAAGGTACATTTTTCATCCAAAAGAGCCTTCCCAAAAATATTTTCCAAGAACCTTGCCCTTGAGAGTTTCAAGTCAAGAGAATAAGAAACCATTTTTAGCATAAATTTGCCATATCTACTGTCACAAATGTCCAAACATCTCATAATGATCAATGATGTTGTTGCTACTTTTCTTAGAAATAGCTCTTTTGGTTTTAAATAGGAGATCTAACTTGGGTTACAAATAAAAGTAAGCCTGTCAGACCAGATTAGAGAACAAAGAATTATTAAAAGGAAACAGGGGTGTCTAATGGACTCCAGAGTCAGGATTAGAACCTGGAACTGGTCATCAGACCCTCTGGGGATACATGGTTTCTAGCCTCAGCTCCTCTCTCTACAGATGTCTTCCATTCCACTAATCTTGAACTGTTTTATCTGATTCTTACCCAATTCTAATCAAGCCTCTATATTAAAAGACTTACCTTAAACCAAACTTCAAATTCTCAATAAGTTGACCTTCCCCTCTTTGAGACACTGCCAAAGCTATAAGAAGGTGTGATTCTCCCTTACCAATGTAAGCGATAAACTCAGCCCTGTCTTAGCAACAGGAGATATTTAGGAGCCATCACTCAGCAGGGCTAACGAAACACCACTATTTTGCGAGTTGCTTTTAGTAAATAGGGCAAGTAGAAATCAAGTAGATTGAGAGCACATAATAATTTATGTCCTAACAACTAGGAGAATGAAATTGCAACCTCCTATCCTCCGTAGACAGAGTATGAACTTGGCCAGAATTTAATAAACAACTTACAAGTACTGATTTTACAGCTTCAGCTAGGTCAAGGGAGCAGCCAGTAAAAGGTAGCGTTTATGGAATAACAATGGGATTGCTTTGTTTTCCTAGAAGATCTGTGAGGTCATAATTTGAAAGAGGGGTGGGGGATAGTACTAATTGTATTATAATGTCTAATAAGTAATATACAGAACAGATCCCATTGATTGAGAAGTGACTTATAAATTATGAGTCAGCAAGAAAACACTTCTCTTCTTCCTCATGGGTTTACTGCCCTACTTCTGAAAATTAAAATTTGTCCTTGGGAGATGGCATGATGAACATGATTATGCATTTGTATCTTTTATTTGGTAGTTAGCCTGGATACTCCAGAGAATAAGATATGTTCAACTCCTACTAGTGGACAGATATCAAGTAGATCTACATCTGCTCTAAACTGCTTCTTGAAACTTGAAGCACTGAAGTGGTCCCTCACTCCCATCCCTAACTGCTCTATGGGACTTGGAGAACCACCAACTTTGTTCTCCAGGCTCCTTTCTGCGATGCGCTATTCTAATCTTGCCTGAATAACTTATACTTGAGGACTTAAACTGCTAAGAGAGAAGTTATTTTCTCTCACTTAAAATTGGATGTTATTAGTAAATGAAGACATCATGAGGGCTCCACAAAGCTATAAAAATTTCATTTCGAAATTTCCCTTTTTACAAATCTATAGACACAAAAAATAAATTAGTGGTTGCCCTGGGCTAAGGGTGGAAAAAAGAATTGACTGCTATGAGTAGAGGGGTCTTCTGGGGGTGAAGGAAAACCTCTATAATTGGATTGTAGTGGGGGGGTTCACAATTTTGTAAATTTGTGAAACTGAATTGAACACAAAACAGGATAATTTTGTGATATGAATTCTATACTTCAATAAAGCTTTTAAACAAAACCCCAAATTGCACTTTTCAGTAAAAAAATACTTATTTAAAATCCTCATATTTTTAAAGAAATTCTCATATGAACATGCATTCTAAGTGCTGCCTGGCCTTCAATCAGAGAAGAAATTAAGAAAAAAGTAATTCTACAGCATTCTAGTTGAAGTGCCAAATTGACGACAACTGAAAATAGAATACACATTTATTATTAAATAAATAAATAAAATCATACCCACTTTTGCAACTGGTTGTGAAATATCTACTAATAAAGAAGATTGTCTTTAACGACGTATGTAAAATATGTTGTTAAAGCTCCTCTAGAGTAAACTGTTATTATCATGATGATTTTTCATGCCTTGGAAAACAGCTAAAACCAATGAGATCTTTGAAGATACATCACCTGAATTCTGACTGTAATCGAGTTCAGAAGTCCTTTTATCTTCAGACATCGCAGCTGTCTGGCTGAGCTCTTCGGCACCACAAACCCCTTCCTTCCTGTGTCTTGTGATCATAGTCCATTTTTTTTCCTTTTTCTCTGGGACTTTGCATCTTGGTTCATTCTGTGCTCACTCCCCCTCTCACTTCCCTCAATTCATTCACTTTTCAGTTTTGTTTCTTGTCTCACAACTCTCATGAGACTTGATATTCAA